TTTTCTTCTCTCTCTCTCTGTGTGTGCGCATCACAAATTCAAAGTAACAAAGTGGGAACTAAACCACAAAGTAAAAAAGAACAAAGGAGGAAAGGGACACACACGCAGTCAACTAGACATCCACGTGCATGCGTATATATATATATATATTTGTTAGCTAAGGTAAAAATGGGGAGTGAAACTTGTGTGGTCGAAGGAAGAGAATGAACAGTAAACGGCTAGCGAAGCTAGGCGAGTGCCCCTCAACTGTTTTACGCATCTCTGGCACTTGCGTGCATCCCCACTATTATTGCTGTATATATATATATATGTACACACACACAGGCGCGTAGGTAAAAAAAAACAAAACAAAACTCATGCACTTTGTATTGGAGACCGACGGTTGTTTGTGCCTACGAGATCCAAAACTGCGGTACATCTGTTCTCCCTCCCATTGACATCTGTTGCATATATATATTTTTCCCCCCATTGCCTGCACACCGTCTGCGACGAAGGGAAGGGGGTGTAGCGACGGCACACACACGCGCGCCAAGTTAAAGGGAATTTGGCCCATAGATAAAAGTTTAATAAATAAACGACGTTGACCCGTTAAAACATCACTTCATCGTTTTTCTCTCTTGCTGCGATTCCCCGTTGTTGTTGTTGTTCTTGTTGGCCTCTTGATCTCCAAAAAAAAAAGACAAGGCAAACAGAGGTGGGGCGCGCGCGTTTACACCACCTGCCTTTCTCTCTACTCCTGCTTCTGATTTGTGTGGTTCGGTTTTGTTGGCATTGTTAGCGAGTGCCGTTGTCGGTGTGACCGCCGCCACTCAGACGCGTTGCGGCAATGGGCCGCGAGAGCATGCTGCACAACATCAACCGCACCCTGCAGATCACGCTGGACGATGGCAGGGAGCTGACGGGTAAACTCCTCGTGTACGACCGCCACATGAATGTCGTGCTGGGCGACGTCACGGAGAGCCGGGCGGAGACGAAGAAGATGAAAGAGGCGGGCATTAGTCCAAAGCGCAGTCTCGGGCTCGTGCTGCTGCGCGGCGAACACGTTATCTCCGTCACGGTGCTCGGCGGCGGCGCCGGCGGCGGCGATGACAACGGCGACGGCGGCGCAGCGGCGAAGGGACGACCGGCGAACTTTGAGAAGGCGCCACGGGCGAAGCTGGCCGGTGTGAAGCGGGCGCGGTAGGCGGGAGCCGCGCGAGTAAAGCAACGGGGGAAAAGAGGTGAAAGGCGGAACGGCGGCCAAGAGGCGCGCAGAAAGGACACACAACAAACTCCGAGGCGGGAAGCGTGCGTCTTGTGTCGGCGTGCGTTCTCCGTGTTTTTACGCGTGGGTGTGTGTGTGCGGGGGGAGTTGTGCCTGTTGGGTCTGCCGTCTGGCGGGGTCTCGTCGCAGGAGTGCGGCGAACAAACTGGAGAGGAAGGAGAGAGGAAGGAAAAAAGAAAAGAAAAGAAGAAGTGTTAACAGCATCAAAGAAACAAAGAGGTGCGGAGGCGAAGTGAGCGAGAGAGGAGGAGGAGGAGGAGGAGGAGGAGCGTGGGGGGGGGGGGCTATGCACGCACAGAAACACACACACACATACACACGCGTGCAGGTGGGCTGCAGCGAAAGTGTTGGGAGGCTCCCATCCGCCCTGCGCCCACCTGCACGTCGGCCGCTGTTTGCCTTCAGGCAGTCCCCTCTCCCTTTCCTCCCTCCCTTCCCCAAGCATGCCGAAAAAAAAAAGAGAGAGAAAGGAAGAGAAAAAAGGCGTGGGACAAGACGAACGGCGTGAAATAATGCGCCTGTGGTTGCGCGGGTGCGTCTGGGGGCGCGGCTCTGACTTTGTGCCTCCCTCCCTCGCTTTGTTTTTCTTTCTTCCCCCCCACCCCTTCTTTTCGTGTGAAGTGGCGGTGGCGGTGGCGGTGGCCGCTCCCTCGCTTTTCTCCGCTGCCCACGCACCCCGCCGGCCGGACGCAAACGGGAGATGCGTGCCGCACCTTCGCGTTCCTGGCAGCGAGCGGCCACGGGGCCGCACACAAATGCAATTCCTTCCCCCCTTGCTTGCTCTTCCAGCTCCCGCCACGGCGGCCACGAGCTCACTTATTTACACAGCCAAAGGGGCACGACAGACCGTCCTTTGAACCCGACGGGAAGAAGTTGCAACAGCCACAAGCGCGGGGGGGGGGGAAGGAAAGAAATCGCAAATAGACTACACACCAAAAAGGAAGGGCTGAGTTGCATACAGGGGCCTCTTCCACGCGATACGAAAGACGGCGGCGTCGGTTGCTGCTGACACGTATACAAGTAGATCGCAGGAGGCGGAAGAGGGAGATGCCGGCAAAGTACGGCCGGCGTGCGGGAGTGGGGGGCAAAGACGGCGACGATGCTGTCGCTGCGGTTGCCTCAGCCAAAAAGGTTGCTTCTGCGGTTGGTAGGCAGCCGCCGCAGGATGAGGTGGTGCACAAGGATAGGCTTCACAACCTGGACGACGGCGTTGACGAGCAGACACGCGCGCAGGCTGCCCAGCAGGCCGCAGAGGAGAAGGAGCGGCTTGTCAAGCGCATCGCAGAAGCCCCTCTGGGCTACACAGCCATTATGCCCAAACTCGCTGAATTAAACCTATCGAATCTGTGGAACGACTTTCTGAATACCATTCATCAGGACTTTGACATCTCCCCACTCACCGCCTGTCTCTCGCAGCAGTTAGATGACGAGGATGTGACCTGGAACCCGGACATGTTGCTTGTGCAGCTCACCTCGGAAATGCTGGATGCCGCCGAAAGCGGCGACAGTGCCCCACCTGCGCCTGATCCCGCGGCACTGGAGGCGACGGGCGAGGCACGAAGGCGGCGCAAGGAGTTGCTGGAGAATGCGGACGAGTTGCTTGCGACAACGCGGGGCCGCCGCCGCCGGCCGGGAGGCGAAGAAGAACAGGCAACGCCAGAAAATGTGGCACAAGCGCCTGCGCCAGGGGAGGCGAGTGGAGGCGGCGCTTCAGAAAAAGTACAGAAGCAAGTGGAGCGGGCACGCGGAAAAGAGAGCAACCGCAGCGGCAGAGATGCACGGCCAAAGGACCCTTCTGTATCCACTTCTCCAGCTCAGCACGCCCCAGGAGCTCATGCCTCCCCAGCTGTGGACGCCAGGCGAAAGGCAGTTGAGGACAAAGCCAGGGCGCAGGGTTCTCGTGCAGATAAAGCGGCAGCTGGCAGGGGCGAGTTGCCAGCCAAGACGGAGAAGAAATAGTTGCCACTGAGGCACCTACAGTGGCGCACGCATGCGATGCATCTCTGTATGCTTCTCCCTCGCCATTGCTCTGCATGCATGCTTCTCTCTCCCTGTAGATGCGCCGACGTGCGGAGGATGTAATGGAACTGAGGAAGGAAAGCAAAAACGAGGCAAGCCACAAAAAAAAATGCTCAAAAGAAACGGAAGTGATGTGCATCTCTTTTTCTGTCATTTGTCCCTCGGTGGAAGTTTTTTTTTTTTGTGTCTTCCCCTTCATCTCGTTTTGTTTTGCTTCCTCTGCAGGGACCCGGAGAACTCTGTGTTTTTTCTCCTTTTGGGTGCTGTTGTGTCCGCGCAAGGGTTTTTATTTTTAATTCTCCTCTCTCTGGCTGGGGCAGAGGCGGAATAAATCGCTGGCACAGAGGCAGAGCTTCGCTCGCACTCGCGCTCTCTTTCTCTCTCCCCCCGTGTGTGTGTGCGTGGCTGGCTGGGCAGCGGTTGCCGGCCCACTAACCTCCGCACGCCGCGCTCCCGTGAAGGGGGAATAAGGAAAAAAAACAGAAGAAGAAGGAATAGAAGCAAAAAAAAAAAGGGCGGTGAGGAGGGCGGTCTGCGATGAAGCGGGTGCTGGTGCTGAATGTCGACTCCTTCGTTGGCAGGGAGGTGTGCCGCCGCTTCTTCGACGCCAACGAGTACCTGATCGACGGCACGCTCTACCACCCCCACCCGGCGAGCGACGGCGAACGCACGGCGCAGGCATCGCACGGCCAGGGCGCAGCCGGAACTGCAGGCGTGGCGGCGGGGTCCGCGGCAAGAAGCGGCGCCGCCGCGCCGGAGACGGAGGTCCCGGCTGAGATGCGGCCGTTTCTCAACTCCGTGATGCCGCGTCACGGAGCGATTAGCGACGAACAGTTCCGCGCCCGGGTGCTGACGTACGACATCATCATCGCCGTCCTTGAGGAGGACGCGTTTGAGGCGGACTGCGCCATCAAAGTCCTTCGCGGGACACACTACGAGGTGGAGAAGACGTTTGTGCTCGTCTCCAACGTCCTGACGTGGACGCAGACCGACGCCCATGAGCGTCAGTTGCAGCGTGCCGCCCGACGTGCAGAAAGGGCGGCGGCCCGCGCCCAACGCGACGAGGAAGAGGAAGAGGAGGAAGAGGAGGAAGAAGAGGAAGAGGAGGAAGTAGAAAAAAAGGTCTGGACCGAGGAGGAATACCGCCAGCGCTACCCGGATGTCCGCTACCATCTCTGGCGGGAACTCGAGCACGCGGTGAAGCACGCCAACTCGGAGACGCTGCACACCTACGTGCTCTGGGCCGGGTTGCCGTACGGTGGCGGCGAAGACCTCCTCGCGCCCTACTTTCACGCCGCCTGGAGGCATCAAGAAGTGCTGCAGTACGGCGATGGGTCAAACTACATCCCCACCATTCATGTAAAGGATCTCGCGCGGATCATCTACCTCGTCGGCTCCTCCTACGACACCCTTGAGGAGCGCTACATGTTTGCCGTTGACCAGGGCAACAACACACAGGCGGATATTTTGCAGGGTATAAAGGACTTCATTGGTGGGACCATCGTCGTGACAGCGCCGAGCATTGACCGTGAACACCAGCTCTCAACGCCAACGCCAACGCCAACGCACAAGACAGAAGAAGCAAGATCGAGCCCACTGAGCATGGTTGAGCTGGAAAGCGAAATCCAACGGGAGCATGATGCCCTCTTGGATCTGGAGGCGCGGGAGAAAAAAGTGTTGGATGAAGTGAGGGAGGAATTTTTGCAGGTGCAGGAACTTGCGCGGCGAGAGAAAGTGCTTCAGTATCAGCTTGGACTTGGGTATGAGGCCACCGATGACGGTGGTACTAAACCCTTCTCCAGGGCGGAGCACGCACCCACAGTAGAGGCGGGACTATCGGTAGCCCCACCACATGGTCTGGAGAACTGGTTTAGTGCGGTTGACATACGCTGTGAGCCCGGTGCCGTACTTTCGTTGCTTGAGGAGGGGGAGTGGGTCTCACTCGGGGGTTTCTTTGCGAATGTGGACAAGGTTGTGCGGGAGTTCAAAGTTGTACGACAGTCGAGCCCCATGCGTATTGTTCTAACTGGGCCGCCCTTGAGTGACGCAGGGGAGGTCGCTGGAAAACTGGCGGAGCTATTTGGCATTCCCCACCTAACTTTGGCGAATGTGACGGCGGCCTACGAGCGACATGTGCAGTTGCTGCGCGAGGAGTTGATTGAGATTCTTTTGCTGCGGCAGTTGCGGCGGCAGGAGGCACGCGAAGAACGCCTGCGCCGCGAGTCAGAGCGGGCGAGGAAGGCGAGGAAGGCGCGTCGCAAAGCCAGGGAAGAGGAAGAGGGCGGGAAGGCGGTGGAGGGGGAGGGAGCCGATGAGGGGGAGGAAGAGGAAGAGGAGGAGGAAGGGGAGGAAGAGGAAGAGGAAGAGGAAGAAGCGGGAGAAGGAGGGGGCGCGGAGGGCGAAACGGAGGAGGAGGAGGAAGAAAACGAGGAGGCGGGTGAAGCCGCCGCGCAGGACGTGGACCCCGTGGAGCGTTTGCGCGCGACGATCACGGAGGCCATGCTGCTGCAGCCGCCGGAGGACGAGGAGGAGGAGGAGGACTTCAGCAACAACGCGGACGAGGATGAGGAGGTGGACGATAAGGCGACCGCCAAGGCGCAGCGGCTGGACGAGGACGAGCGGCGCCGCATTGCGGTCCTTCGCGAGGAGTACCGCTTTGCCACGCAGTTGCTCACACTGCGCCTTTTGAATGGGGAGTTCCCGCCGCGCCCAAGGGCCGCCGATGACGGGGAAGAGGAGGAGGAAGACGAGGACGAGGACGAGGACGAGGACGAGGCGAGGAGGCGGGAGCAAAAGAAGGGTGTGAAAGCGGACGCGGCGGAGGAATCACCGCCACCGACGATTCGTTATTTGGATGAGGCGATGGCTGTGATGGTGCGCTGGCGGCTGCGACAGGGGGACTGCAAAAACCAGGGCTACATCCTGGAGTCCTTCCCGGAGACGGTGCGTCAGGCCTGGCTCACGTTTCTCGCCGACACAGAAGAACAAAGGGAGCTGCAGCGGCCGAAGTTGCAGAGGGACCGTGACGCGGAGGCGGAGCCGCAGCCGCCTCCTGACGCCGGCTTCCCACTGCCTGTTCTCGCCGACATGGAGGAGGAGCAGCAGCGGGATATCTTGGACCTAATGGAAGGACGCACATTTGCCCCCGCGGAGGAGGTAATGGCCCCCACAAATGATGCATTGTTCCCAGATTGCTTTGTCGCCTTGACAAGTAGTGAGCTCGTTCTGCGGGCGCAGCGGGATGCCGCAGTTTTCCATGAGTCTCATGCCGACGCAATGCCGAATCTTACTGAGCAGTTCACGCGTTACATGACGCATAATCGCCCCGGTGCCCCACCGACGGAGTCACTTACCTGTTGGTTTCAAACGGTGGCAGCGGAGAAGGAGGATACTGACGTAGCGGGCGGTGGCGACGCGGAGGGAGGGGAAAGGAGGGAGCAGGTACCGCGAAAGGCATGCGTCTTGTTCGTGCCGGTGCTTTCCACCACTCCTGCGGCCGTGTTGCCAAGAACGTTTTCCCAGGCGACGATGTCCGAAATGGGGGCCTACTGTGCCTACATCCGGTGCGAAATCCTTAAAAACGTTGGCCTTGGCAGCTGCGGCCCTGTGATGGAATCCATGCGGGCCGAAGAGGAGTCGACCATGCGTCAGTTGCAGGAGCTCACTTATGAGCAGGAGCGATTAGATGGATTGCGCGCCGCCGATGATGTTTTTGCCGCCTTTGCACGCAAACTCGAGGATGTTTCCATGGAGAATGAGCGACGGGCGTTACGGTACTATCAGGCGAAGGAGGAATTAACCACGGCTGCCGGCATTGAAGCCGTCCCAGCGGATATGTACTTGATGCGGTATGTGCTGCCTAGTCTGACGCCGCTGATGGCGGAGGTGGTGCGGATGCGCCCAGAAGACCCGGTAGCTGCCTTGGCGGAGGCTCTCTTTCACCACAAGCGGCAGGTGGAACTCTGAGTTGGGCTTTGCGCAGCACCGGGTCCCGCCGACACTCCCTCTCCCGCTTTGTCTGCCTTTGACCTTCCCCTCCTGGGGCGGGGGACGAATTGTAACGGCGGCAGCAAAGGATGTACTTACGCCCTAGACGAATCTGCACGATGTAGAATGAAGAAAAAACAACAACGAAGAAGACGAACGACAAACTAAACGATGGAGGGATAGAGAGAGAAAAAGATAGACAACTGCCCTCACCCAGACTTTTTGTCGCTCGCTTTCGCCACTGTTATATATATATCTCTCTCTGTGTGTGTGTCTGCTTTTTTTTTCTTTCATTTTTCTATTTTAAGTTTATTGCGCTGTTGCGCCGCCCGACGTGCATCCTTGTTGCCTTTCCCATACACTCTCACTCTCGTCTGTATTTTCTGTGCGTGGAAGGTAGGGCAAGCGCGAGCGCGGGAGCGAGAGCGAAAAGGAAAGGGAAGCGAGGAGGCGAAGGGCCGTGGCGTGTCGGCAGCAGGCGGTAGGCAAAGCGGGAGCGGCGGCGGAGGCAATGGCGGAGCACTTCCGGAACCGCCTCAAGGAGCTTCGCTCACGCAAGGTGGCGACGGAGGATGCGGCCCTCGGCTCACAGGCGGCAGCGGCGGCGGGCTCTGCGGCGACGGTGGTGGCGCCGGTGACGCCTCCCCCACTCTCCTCGGCGGCCCTGCCGAGCAAAACAGCGACGTCGGTTCCGGTGGCGAATCTGCCGCCGCCGTTTATGTCGCCGCACGCCGCGGCGGTGAAGTACCGAGACACCGTGCGGGACCCGCTCTGCGCGCGGTTCACGACGCGGCACGCGTTGCGCCTCTTCGAGGTTATGCTGCAGGCAGCCAAAGGCGCCACGGGGCGGAAGCGGGCCCGTTCCCCGGACAATGCGGCCTCCGCGGAGGAGCCGCGTCACCGTGGCTCGCCGGCGCCGGGGCCTGCGCCAGGGGAGCCGGCGGAGGATGCTGAGGAGCGAGACTCACCGCGCCAACTTGACAGCGAACAGCCTATGCTGAGAAATCTTTGCGACGCCGAGAGGAGGCAGGACAACAACCCCGCCTCTGATTCTTCTTTCCCTAATGTGGTTTCTTACTTCTTGCCTGATATAGCTGCAAGGTGCTTCACTAACAATGAAGAGTTGGAGGAACGAGATGGGCCTGTCAATGGACAGGCACACCTAAACCATCCACAGGCGAGAGCCGGAGCAGACGTTGGCGGCACTTCACGTGGCAACAAAAGCGAATGCATTCTGGTCACGGGGAAACTGTTCCCAGCCTGCCGCTCGGTAAATGAGTACATTCCAAAGGCCCGCATTGCGCAGGGTGTGTACGGCGTGGTCATCAGCGCCATTAAGTCTGCCCCTGAGACGCCTCACCACGGGCACGAGGTGAAGCGGATGGTCAGGAAGTATGCACTCAAGCAAGTGAAGGAACAGTGGCTTGTAGACTCGCAAGTCGGGTTTCCACCGTATCTCCTGAGAGAGTTTGACCTCCTGCTGCGGATGCGCCATCCAAACATTGTGAGGGCCCGGGAGGTGGTGATTCTCGATAAGCGGCTTGAAGCGGCAAGGTACTCCTCGCGTAGTGAGGCGGGTGGTAACGGGGGTGGGGGCGAGGACAGCCACAAACCTCGTCCAGAGTCCACCGGCGGGTTTCTGCAAGGAGTGAAGGGGGTAGCCCCCAACACGAACGCTGCCACTCAGCCGCAGGAGAAGTTAAACGCGGATGGGGTACCCAAGCACGAACGTGGTACGACCCATGTAAAGGACGTGTATTTGGTTATGGACTACTGTCCCTACGATCTCAAGTCTTTTCTCTCTCTTCATAATGAAAAAGGGGTTTATCTGCATTTAAGTTCATGCAACACACACCCTGATGCCCCAAACAATTTTTTGTCTCGAGTGAAGTGTATTATGCAACAGTTGTTTCGAGCCCTGAATTTTCTCCATGATCATCGTATCTTGCACAGAGACATTAAAACCTCTAACATTCTCATTAGCCATGAAGGGGTGGTGAAGCTTTGCGACTTTGGTTTGGGGCGCCTGTACTGTGAGGGGGAGCAGCTGACTGCCAACGTTGTCACACTCATGTATCGTGCCCCAGAGCTACACTTTGGTGTGCGTGACTACTCACACAAGATGGACGTGTGGTCGCTGGGGTGCATCATGGCAGAGCTGTTCCTCAAGATGCCACTGTTTCGAGCTGAAGAGGAGGTGAAACACTTCGCCGCTGTCTGCGACATCATTGGGATTCCAACAGAGGAGACGTTCAGCGGGTTGTACAAGATGCCGGAGCTTCTGCGCATCATGCGTTGCCTCACCAAATACAATCGTGAGAACCATCTAGCTCGCGTGTTTGAGAAGTCGCGCCACGCCGGTGCGGCGACTCTGCCCGCGAGTGGGTTGGACTTGCTGCAACGCATCTTTCAGTGGAACCCTTTGGACCGAATCTCTGCCCGTGACGCGCTCAACCACGCGTTTTTTCACGAAGCCCCGCTGCCGTGTGACCCAGCGGAGCTCTTGCGCCCGGTACCGTCAACAAACGTGCCGCCTGTGCGGATTGGGGGGAAGTCGTCAGCGAGACGAAATAAAACGAGTGAAGTGGCGCGAACACCCCCGCCCGAGCCGCTGCCTGCGCAAACAGACGCAGTGCCGCAGGCCAGAGAAAAACCCGCGGCATCGCCGACGACGGCACGAGTGGCGTCCGTGGAGCCGGCGGAGACGAGCACCACGGGGGGCGCGGGGAGACCGCTGGGGACGGCGGCAGAGGCGGCCTCGCCGCCGTCGGAGGACGACGCCGAGCACGCGCTGCTGCGGGAGTTGGACGCACTTAAGGACGTCCCGAGCCCCGGCGACGGGGACGAAGCCCAACGCGTGGCGAACCAGGCCCGTCTGCAGGCGAATCAGGACCGTGACTGGGCGTCGTCGCCAGGGTTTTGACGCGGCTGAGGCTTGAAGGCGCAGGTGAGAATAGAGGGAGAAACGCCCAACAGAAAAGGAAAGAGAAAACGAAAAAGAAAAGGAGTGAGGGAGCAAAAGCAAAAAATGACCAAACAAAGAAGGAGAATAGGAGGGAAAAAAAGACAGGAAAAAAAACAAACTTCGCTATAGACGTAGTGGCGGTGCTTAATGCTGGTTCCTTTCCGTTGTATTGGCTTCCTCTTTTTTTTTTTTTGTTCCCCCTCTCTCTCCCACACACACACTCTTTCACACACACGCACACACATACTTTTTCTTTCTCCCTCTCTCTCTTTCATTGCTTACGTGCTTCTGCGGCGAGAGAGAAGCTTGGCGTCGTCCTCTTCCTCCCACTCCGCAGCGCCAAAAAACAGGCATCTATACCCGCAGACATACACGCATATATAAATATATTTGGGGGTGGTGGTGCAGGGGCGAGGGAAAGCGGTGCGTTGTGCTGCCATCACGCTTCTGCGTCTTGGGCCACCGCGGTAGGAGTGAAAAACGGAAGGAAGCGAGAAACACACCAGCGAAAAAAAAAGCAAAACAAGATGATCTTTGGCTCGGAGCCTCCGCTGTATTTGAAGCCCGTTGGCCGGCGCGGCCTGCGGCGGCACGAGGCGGACGTCCTGCAGCACTACCCGGGCTACGTGCATCCCGTCGTGCAGTTCCCCGAGAGTGAGGGCTACATCAGCGAGCACCACCGCCTGCACCCGTTCCTCACTCCCGCAGAGGAGTTGCGGCACGAGCGCGAGGTGCAGGTCGAGCGCCGGCAAGGCGTTGTCGCGGCGCGCCGCAAACTCTGCTGCGAGCGCGAGGCCAACTTGAGACAACGGAGGGAGGAGGAGTTTCAGCGGGAGCAGCGCCACAAGGAGCAAATGGCTGGTCTCTCGATTCGAAATGAACCCGGCGACGGGCGTGATACCGTCACGCAGCATTGCAGGACAGTGGACGCCCTCCGTCACTGGGAGTACAGGTCTGCGGCAGAAAAGCACAAGTACTTTTTGCGGCAACGGCGCCTATTTGAAAAAAACCATTCGCATGGATACAACATTATAACGGGCGGTGACTTGCCTTCAATAGTGGTTCCGCCCATGCCGCCACGAGCACCCGCTGCGGAGACGGCCCAGATACAAGATGAGGCCTGAATGATGTAAAGCTGCGCCGGCGAAGAACGGAGGCCGCATGCGGTGTGAGTGTATGCGAGATCGGCCTCCGGTATGTCCTTTTTGCTTCGCTCTACAATTCTGTGATGTCTAATTTTTGTTTTTTTTTGTTTTTTAAATTTGTTTTTCCTTTTTTTTCTTTTTCTTTTTCTTGTCGACTTGTTGATGTTGACGACTATGATGATGATGATGTTTTTCCGTCTTGTCTCTTGCTGCCGTTGAACAGCCATCACCGTCGGAGTCTTTTTTCAACGTTGAATACGTTCCTGATGTGTTTATATTTCACCGTGGAGTTTTCCTGTGTAGGTGTGCATACACATTTGCCATACACACACACACTGGCTCTCTTGATGTGACTCGACATGTTTGTTTCTCCACGTACCTCCTCTCCACTCCTTTGGTCTGCCTTGTTTGCATGCGGTTTGTCCTCCTTTAACTTTTTTTTTTTTGTGCCCGGCGCCGCAACGCCAAGCCCAACGTGCTCCGCCGTTTGACGTTGCTTATTGCTGACGCGCAAACCTCTGCGGGACACCGGGGGAGCGGCGATGGTGACCAGCAACCGGAGCAGCGGCAGCAGCAGCGGCGGCGGCGGGGAAAAGCGGCAGGGCGGCAATTTGTCTTTGCGCGCGTCCACGGGGTCTGCTATGCCGGGGATCTCCGCGGATTCACGGAGTGCCGCGGACGCCGAGGGGGTGCGTCTGCCGCGGGAGGATGATGCGGCACCCGCGTCCCAGTCGGATGGGGCCCGAGCGGGTGAGTGGGCGCAGCCGCACGTTCGCTGCGCCTCCGTACGGTCACTTTCGCAGAGGACAGCCGCAGGAGGGGCGAGCCTGCTGGACAGCGAGGCGCTCCTGCGCAGGAAGTGGAGCACCATTCAACGGGAGTGCCCGCTTAATCCACTGTCTTCGACCACGTCGGTGGGAAGTGCAAGCTGGTACCATGCAAGGGAGGCCTCGATGAGCTCCTTGACGCAGTTCGGCACCCCGCCGGCGCTGAGGGCCGGCGCGGCGGTTTTTTTCTTCACGCTGAATGAAGAAGAGAGCATGCGGCAGTCGCCACCACTGGAAGTTGTCGGCTTCCCAGGCGAGCGTGAGGGAGGTGCTGGGGACGGCGCCGTACCGCGCAACAGTGTTGCCGCTGCGAGCATCAAAGAAGACCTCACAGATCCTCAAGAAGTTGCAGGAATCGGTGCCGTGACAACACAAAAGGCAGAGTCGGTAGATCTACAGAGATCAAGTTGTTCGTTGAGTGTGCCACGGTACTCAACTTTTCTGCGGGATGTTGGGGAGCTCGCCGCGAGCACGCGTGAGAGTCACGGACCCTCTACATCAGATAGCCCTGGGCAACCGAGTAGCGGAAGGAGGCCTCCCTGCGGTGGTGGCGATATCATGCCGAGCGCTCACGACGCTGAGCGCCTAGCCACTTCGCTAGGCAATAATATCAATGAGGATGCGGACTCCGCGGATCACTTGTTTCGTTACGAGGTGATACGATTTTCGAAACGCCCTGGCAATGACGATGGATGTAGGGGTGGATTGAGTAGTTCCGATGATGACTGTTGCTGTTGCTGTGGAGTTGACAGTCTGTTTTGGTGTGGCGGCGGAGACCGTGAGTCGCAGACGGCGCTGCTTGTAGAGGATCGGCCTGGCAGACATCGCGAGGAGACGAGTGCAGGGCAACACCCCGGCCCTCAATGTAGACTTTGTAGGAGGCTGTTTCGTCTGTGGGACTTTGTAAACGCTGTTGCAGGTGACCTTCCTCTGGCCTCGGAGATTCTTTGCCTGATGAATTATATCGCGGGCATACTTGTGACCCTCGCCGTGGTGCTTCTGCTGGCGGGACTGTGGAGTGAACGACCCACCCCACTCGTGGATGACGGCTCCACATGCCATGGGACGGCTGTACCCGGATTCTTGACACCAGACACCTCATTTAGCATTTGCCTCTTCCTTTTTAACGCGTCACTGGCATCTTGCTTTGCCATTCGGGCGGTTCGATACGAGAATACAGGGCTGCTAATATGTCACTTCGTCACTGTACTGCTGCAGCTGTGCCGTGTCATCTACTTTTTGTGCTCGACGAGCAGCAACGACCTTCCGAACGAGGTGCTGCTGTATACGAAGGGTTTACTTAGTTTCAGCGTCATCCTGCTCTTCTCTTCGTGTGCAACGTACCGGTGGGTGTACAAGTCGTTTGGATGGGGGCGATTCATGCGGGGTATCACCCGTTCTGTCCTGCTGCGGCGTCACCGGCGGCAGATGTTTGTGCGGTCGGTCGTACAACTCGACGTCTACAGTACCATCAGCGGCGCCCTCACAGTGGCGTACACGGTGGACAGCAACGTGGAACAGCTGCTGGGACTAGCGCTTGCGCTACTTTCTTGTGTGGCAGCGATGCTTTACCCGACGATGCTGCGACGCCGTTCGATGTGGTTTCTTTGCTTTTTTTCACTAACATTGGCTTTCTCGTTGGTGTTTTACTGCCACGCCATCGGCAGCGCGGTGGAGCCGTACCTGGTGCGCGGCGCAGGGACCCAATTTGAGGCGAGTCATTGCTATAGGCCACAGCTTCTTAACTGCCTGCGCGACCTGGAGCTTGAGGTCATCTCCCACGGAGGCGTCAGTGGCGGCGGCGGTGCGTGTCTACCCTCGGCGGGGCATCGCAGCGAGTTCGTTCAGTTCGCCCACCGCAAGGAGAATTGCCTTCCGACGTGGAACGACCACTACGTGAAGGGTTTTACGCACTGCTGTGAGGTGTACGGCCACTGCCGCCTCAAGGACGCCGTGCGAAGTTACAGTGTGGTGAATCTCATGGTGCTGGCAGCCATCGTGTGGAGCTTGCGCGTCCTACTCGTCTGGTTGTGGGTCCGTTCCTTGTCGGAGGACGCGGAGGAGGCTGCGATGCGGCTTCGAAACCCCACTTCTGATTCCCCTGCGCCTCCTGAGCCGTTGCCCGCCAGCCCACGTATCAAATGCTCACCGTCCGCCTGAGCCCCGCCCTGGCCCCCTCAAGGGGGTGTGCGTGTGCGGTGTGCCGTTTTTGAGCTTCGAAGGGCGGAACGGATGGCTTTGCGAGGAGAGCTGCGCCAATGCCTGTGTCTATGGGAACGGAGGGTGGTCGTCTCTCGCCGTGAGCCCAGTAGGAGGTGCTGCAGCGACGACTAATGATGAGTTGCAGGGCACAACGAACCAAAATTTTTTTTTTGCCCAAATGGTGTATGGACGGTGCGTGGGAGGATTGAGGATGTTATGGGTGGCTTCCTCCCACGCTTCTGCGCTGCATAACACACACACACACACACACAGGCGGATGACCCTCCAATGCAGTTACGCTTGTAATGTATGCAATAAATGTGGATCATGTAGAGAAACGTACATGAGATGTGTCTCTTTGCAGGGCGTATTGCATTTTGTTTTTCCCCTCCCTGCACACACACACACACACACACGCCCTCTTTTTCTTCCCTCACTCCCTTCACTCTCCTCCCTCCCTCCCTCCCTGTCTGGCTGTTTGTTTGTTTGCAGCTGAGGCTTGCCGCGTGGTGGGTCGGCGTTCGCGGCCTCCCTGCCGTATCGCATAGTCCAGCATGGCAAGGATTAGTGCAGGAATCAAACGTGTAGACTCGCTTGAATTTTCGCAGTGGCTCGGCCCCAATTGCGTCGTGTTACTCCTCCCTCCCCTTCCTCAAAGACGGCCAACAAACGGCCCTTGGGGCGTGGATGCGTAAAGACGAAACAGGGAAACAAAGGCGTGTGTGTTTCTTCTTTGCTTGTATTGCTGTCGTAGCGCGTGCGTGTGAGTAAGTGCGTGTGCATATAGTTTCTTCTGTGTACAGGGATACATATATACGCACGCAGCGACTGGCCCTTTCCCTCTCTTTTTGTGTGCCTTTTCCACATGCCTTCGTGCCTACTTCAATGAGGCCGTGCCGCTTTCCTTCCGCTTCGTGGCATGCCACCCACACGCGCTGCAAACGTTTTATGCACCCCCTTCTTTCCTCTGGTAGGCGGCGAGCAGGGCTTTCAAGAGAAGGAGGACGCAGGCTGTCTGCCACTCTTTGACGCGGCGCGGGCGGGGAAAAGTGGCGCTTGGGGTGCTGCTGTGATGCGGAGATGTGGCGACGTTGCGGCTTTCTCTTGGGGCGGAGCCTCGACGACACAAACGCCGGATACGCCTTGCGAGCGGTGAGGCGCGTGGAGCGCAGGCGTGTTGCGAAGGCGCAGGCCCGGCGGGCCACCGAGGGCACCAACCCGTACAACAAGGCCCAGTACATCAATGCCTTTGTCGAGGCAGAGAGCGCCAGAATGACACACGAGCGGCTTATGCACGAAGGCGCCGCCGAAGAGCAGTCGCTGCTGGCCGTCGTGAATGCCGCCCGTCCAGCAGTCGCCATGGCGCCGGATAAACATGTGCTGCCGGGCACGACAGGGCCTGGCGCGGTGGCATTTGGCGCGTGGCGCGAGGCAGACCCCGCGCTGGAGCGGGCCTGTCTGTCGGCGGACCGCAATCTTCACTGCATCGTGCGAGGGGCGACAACGCCGCCGGCCTTTTCGCCCGAGGCCCTCCAACGCGGCATGCCCGCTCGTTTGGAGAGTGTGCAGCGGCTACTGCGGCTGCTCCACGCAAGTGGGCGTAGGCGCTGGCCGAGGGCGCGACTAAGCGCCTTTGCTGCTTGCATGGAGTCCAGCTTAGACGCGGCCTGCGGGGAGGATTTTAGCACCAGGCAGCGAGTGATGGCGGTGCTGCTTCATTCCGCTGCCGCGCGGAATTGGGAACTGGCGCTTCAGCTGTACCAGAGCCTGCTCTTGCCGTGCCTGCAGCAGCAACGACGGCGCTTGGGGAGAGGCGAGGAAGCCGTGACAGGGACGGATGCCACCACCGCCGCCGCTTCGACCCTCGTCGCCGTGTTGTGTGAGTCCATTCGCGCCCATCATCACGCAGGGTCCCCGGCGCGCGGCTCCGGCCCGTCATTCAACACTCTTGCAGGGCTGCTGCATCCCTCCTCACCGCCGCTACTGCCTGTGGCTGCCGCCCCGCTGTTTAGCATTCTTCAGCCAAGTGATGGCGCGACGTGGCAGAAGGCGGTTGCGCTCGCACAGCGGTTTCAACCGCGCGGGGCCACGCGCATGTATCTTCCTGCCATTGCGTGGGGTGAACTGCTACGGGCGATGCATCGCATGGGGGCATCGCTGGCGGAGGTGCAGGGGGTTGTTGACATCATCACCGATCCGAGTCGCACCAAGAACGCCGATAAACACATGCGGGACACTCATATCTGGAACGCGTACATTTCCGTCAGTGACTGGCGGCATGCGCTTGAGGTGTATTCCAGCAACTTGCCCTACTACGGCGTGAAGGAGACGGCTGCAACAAGCGCCGCACTGATGGAGTCGCTTCTGCGTGACAAACAGTGGGAACAGGCGTTGGATGTCTTCCGCCGGTTGCAACGGAAGGAGGGGCAACTCATCATCGGTACTTCCGGCGTCTTTACGGCCGTCTTTCGGGCTCTTGAACAGCAGGGCGACTGGCAGGCTGTGGCTGCGCTTTTAATGGACTTTGATCACTTCCTCGCGCACTTTGGGGTTCCACATGACTTTTGGCTCGCCTCACCGCTGCGGGAGGCGTTAATGAGCCCGCAGCAGATTAGCGAGGGCCAGCTGGTGGCACGGGTGCGGGAGTTGCCAGGGTGCAGTTATGTCTCCAGCGAGCTTGCACTTGCAGTGGAGTCTGCCCTTGTCGCGTGTAACCGGCGAAAGCCGCAGCAGCAGCAGCAGCGGCGGCGGCGCAAGCAACACTCACGGCACCCCGAGCCCGAGGCGCCTGCGGGGGCGGAGGACGTCTGTGACGATGCCATTACCGCTGAGCGGCTCCACGACCTCATGTGAGCGAGTCTGCCGGGCTGTTGTGCACCGGTGAGGGCTTTGGGTGCGAGTGTGCGTGGGCGCCCGCCACGGTCATCGTCGGGTGCATGATTCTTACCGAAGGGGCTGCCTCCCATCGTTTCTCTCGTGGTGTTCCCTCCTCTGATGGACGCTTGTTGCTGTTTCTCACTCACTCTCTCACACTCACACTCACACACGGTGTGGACCTCGGCTTGCATGAACGTGAAAGCGCCGCGGTGTGTGTGTGAGAGAGCGCGAGAGGCGCCTGTGGCACTAACCTTAAAACTCGTAATGCTCGTTGTAGGAAACATGCAGCGCGGCGTTCCGCCTCATTGCTTCTCCTCCTCTTCCCTGGCTGCCGCTGTGGCTCCGTCAAGGCGCGGATTTCTTGCCTTTTTTTTCCTTTTTTTTTAAATATCCTTTTTGCTCTTTCCTGTCCCTTCCCGCCCTTCAAGAAGGAAAGTTATTTCCCAGGCAAAAAATGACGGAGGTTAACAGTGAGAATCTGCAGATTCTCCTCACCAAACTTATGACGGACCGCTTCTGCTCCGGCGAGACAAGCGACCTCGACGCATGCATTCAGAACTACGTGCCACAGCAGACGGACAATAGTTGGGTTGACCAAAGCCTGCAGCGCCGCGGCATCAGGAAGTGCCAGCCGTACCAGGACGTGGCGAGGCGTTGCCTGGAGGACGAGAAGAAGCACGCGGCGGTCTTCAAGGCGGCGGCGAACGCGCCCGTTTGCAAGGATGAGGCGCGGGCGCTGAACCAGTGCCGACGCGTGCGTGGGCGCAATTGCGAGCAGGAGGCCCTAGAGATGCTGTACTGCGGCATGGTGTACCTTGTGCAGCGACAGAAGGAAAAACACTAGTCCCGGGCGGAGCAGGAGCAGGACACGCGATCCCTGTGGATGCGTGCCACGTCCACATCTCCCTGCACTCTCGCCGTGGCCCCGCTCCCTCCACGCGTGCGCACAGGGAGGCGACTGCGGGGCACGTGCACGTCTAACGCACTTTATAATTGAAGAGGCTTCTGTGTGCCCCAGTTAAAATGCCCCGCCCCCTTCTCTCTCTCTCTCTTTCTTTTTTTTTTCTTCTCTCTCTCTCCTTCTCCCCTTCTCTCCGTGTGTGTGCGTCTTGGGACCGTCGCCTCCTCACCCTCACTTCGCCCATTCACGCACGGCCCCCCCCCCCCCCACTCCTTCTACCGGAGCGTATGACTGTATATGTATTATGCTCTATACATGTATTAGTTTTTGTTCTTCACAGAGCGTGAAGTGGGTGCGAGGGGCAGACCCGCCGCATTTGCCCCAAAGCGGGGGTGGGGAGGCGTGAAGCGAAGGGACACAGACAAGCACCAAAACAACGGCAGCGGAGAGCAGGAGACCAAACACAGAATAAAAGGAAAAAGAAGAGGAGGGTACAAAAAAGAAGAAATAAACGCCAAACAAAAGAAG